TCGTCTGTGCGCGACGCTGCGGGGACGGCTCTGCGGAGTTTCGGCCACGTTCGCAGGACAGTTGTCTTTCATCTGGAACAGTGTTGGCTTTTGCGTGCGTGGCGGCGTTCGCGTTGACTTGAGAGCTTTGCGTTTCGTCCAGGCGGAAAAGAACTCCTCCTCCCCTCCCGGGCTCCTTCCTCCTGCATCCTCCTGTCAAGTAGAAGTTGCTCTGCATATTATATCCAGTGCCCCCCCTCGCCGTCGCCGCATCATTCTACGTTGCACTCTCGCTCAGCATGCTCTCTTGATTGTCCGCTTTGGTGGTCCAGGGCGACAGGGGAGGAACAGGGTCGGCGCTGGCGCGTGCGGGCCACGGCCGTGGGCTGCGCTGCTTTGCAAAGGAAGGCCGAGGAGGGAGGGGAGGGAGGGGGAAGTCAGAGAGGGAGGGGAGGGGGACAGAGGGGAAGGTCAAGGGGGGGGGAAGGGGGCACCAGGGAGGGAAGGGGGGGGGAATGGGAAACGGAGGGAAGGAGGGAACGGCCCGCCAGATCGTTTCCCAGACAGCAGCGGTGATCGTGATCACGTCTGCAGGGTCATGGCTCAAGTTACCATTCTCGACGCGGGCGAGAGTATTGCGCATTTTGTGAAAGCTTCGCATTCGTTGGCCAGGAACGAAATTGTCGAAGTGCAGACAGTCTGCGAGGCGATGGGTCCGGCGGAAATATACCTCCTCCCCTTCCTCCTCCTCCTCCTCCTCATCCTCCTCCTCCTCCTCCTCTTCTTTCTCCCCCTCCCTCCTCCTCCCCCTCCTTTTCCTCCCCCTCCCTCCTCCTCCTCCTCCTCCTCCTACTCCTCCTCCTCCTCCGTAGCCGTTTTGGCTCAAGACCAATGTCTCTGGGGGCTTCCAGCCCCAAGGCACAAACGGATACCGCTAATCCGCGGCAAGCTTTCAGCACGCGCGCAACCATTTTGCCCACGGCGCGGGCGCGCGGCTCATGCCCGCCACGCCAGCCACTGGCGGAGGGAAGACGAAGGAGAACAAGTTCGGTGCAGATGGCACTTGTGCTCCTGCTGCTCGGGAATCTGCTGGTGATGGTGAAGGTCCTGATGCGCGTGATGTCGATCGCTCACGATCCAGCCGGCAGCACTCTGACGAGGAAGACGATCCAGGCATGGACCCCGACGGCTGGGACGACCACCTTAAGGGCCTCATCGATGGACACCTGCGCCAGACCATCAGCTCCTTCAAAGAAGAGATCACTGGAATGGTCGCCACGACAGCGAGTGCAGCAGCCGCTCGAGCCGTCTCTCCCGTCATGGCAGCGATTCGCGCGGTGGAAGAGGCCGTCAAAAGCGTTCCTGCTACCTGCCAGCAGAGAGTGGAAGTTACTCTTCGTCTGGAACTCGATTCAATGGAACGACGTTTTCAAGCGCATCTGAACGGCCTTAATTCCCGTTTTTCTGCCTTCGACTCCCGCACCGACAAGATGGCTGACGATATCGCCAGTATGTGCACCTCCATGGATGAATTGCGTCGGAAGCTGGCACTTGCCCAACGCACGCCGCCCCCACCAAAGCTGCCAAGCGTCGGCTTCCAGCGAGAATTTGACGGCACCATCCTCAGGATTGTTGCATCCACGATGGTCAAACGCACAGGTGGTCTCCTTTGTCAAGGCATGGTTGGACAAAGCAAAGATTGACGGATGGGAAGTGCAAGGCGAAGAGCAATATCGATTTTTCACTCTGCAGTTTCCTGGACCAGTGGGTATTGCAGGTCGTCGCGTCGCCCAGGCGCTCGGAGCTCTTCGTCTACCTAGTAAAGGCCAGTGCATGCGATTCCCAGTGCCAGCGGCTTCAGGAGGATCCACGCAATTACACATTGGCGCGGACAAGAAGCCGTTCCAGATCAAACGCGAGATTGGAAGCAAAAAGATCACAGCTCTCCTTCGCGAGCGATATCCAGACGCTAAACTGCTCTTCGATCGGCAGAATGGATGGGTCTCAGAGAATCGGAACCCGTTTTTGCGTTTGGAACCACAGCCTGGGCAATAGCTAACTAAGTGTTATTGGAACGACGCTCCTAGTGCCTCCCGAGGTTAGACTCGCGAGGCGATCAAGGCCGTCATCGACCCGATCATCGTTCCAAATGCTGAGCCCGAGTTGTGTTTTCAGCAAGTTCGACAGGCTGTTCACGAAGGTCGCGGAGGGTGGCAGAGCACCAGCGTCGGCGCAGCTGGCCTTCACTACCTGGGATGCGAGGGCTCTTCTCAGGCGGCGGGGGGCTCAAGCAATGGGGAAGGCTACTTGCCTACAGAAAACTGGAATTTCGGATTCAATCTTTGCTATTCGGGAGGTGCACCAGACGTTAGATGAGCTCAAGTTCTTCATGGGACGCATCGCTCCATCTTCAATTGTGGTAGGATCATTCGAAGAGGATCGGGTTGGTCACTCGCGAGGTGGAGTGGCTACAGTCATCCCGTCGGCGGCTTCTGTGGGCGCAGCAGCGACGGTCACTTGTTCCAGGACGGGTACTGCGCGTAGTCATTCAGAACGGCGGGGTCGAGATTCGGCACTACAATGTACACAATCACGGGCCCTCGGGTGCGGAGGTCTTGCACGTTGCCGCTTTGATCGGCGAGGGCAGAGCATGGGCCTCTCCGGCTCCTGGTTCGCGCATCCTGGTGGTTTGCGGCGACTTCAATTTTGCCTCCCGCGACCCGCTACAGACCCCTAATCCTGCGATGGATCGAGGTGTGCGCGCTGCCAACCATGCGAGGAAACATGTGCAGAAATGGTTGGCATCTCTTTCCAAAATCGTCGAGGTCGCCCCGGAGGAACCTGCTCATTTCTGCAAGGACACCAACACCGTGGCCCAGATCGATCGCAATCGGATACAGTTCAGCACGCTATCGCAGTCAGATCTACACCCGAGGAGCTCTCTGAGCGCAATGTTTCAGATCATGCAGCGGTACGTGCGGTAGCGAAGCTTAAGCAACACAATCGGAAGTATGTCAAGACTATTCCCACCGCTGCTGGCAAATCTGCGCCCTTTCAGGAGCGGCTTGGACGGTTGCTCGATCAAGAGGCTGAGGTTTTTGAGGCGCTTTCTCCTCCTCGACAACTGGGGCGGTACAAAGACTTGGTCGACGCGGCGGCGGTCGACTCTATTAAAATGCTGCTGGTGGACGACCCCAACTCTTTGGAGTCGCAGCGCATGTTCGCCAGGCAGCTTGCGAGGGCGATCTGGCGACAAGACGCGAAGATGGCCATTGAGGTGTGCAATTCTTCTGAGACAGTCCGAGGCTGCGTTGGGATTGATGGCGCTCAAGTTAAACTTTCACAGCCGGCTGCATTTCAAGCCTGGGTTGACTCAGTACAACATGCCGCAGCTGAAAAAGAGTTTGAAGACCTACAACACGCGGCTCTTCATGGACATGGGGGGGCAAGGCCTTCGGCGGGAGTGATCTCCGCAAAGACGCGCGAAGCTCGGCTCTGGGCGCCCGTCGGCAAGAGGCTTACTCTACGAGCTATCAAAGTTGGCGATGGCCTATTTACGGAACCGTTACAGAAGCTTCAAGCTCTTGCCGATTATTGGGCTCCCGTCTCGGGCACGCCAGTGCATTATCCCAAGGCAACCCAGTTTTATGTAAAGGAATTTGTGCGGCCTGGCAATCATGGCGCTTGCGTGCCGCCGTCCAGGGAGTCGCTCGGCCGAGTTCTGCATCGCCTCTCTCCCATCGCATTCGGCGCCTGGAGTTGGCGGACTCCCTTATTTGGCGCGGGCTGCACATCCTGCAGGTGGTGATGTGCTGTGGCGGGCTTGTGCGTGGCTTATGACTGGGCAGCATCTCTTTTCATCATCTGTGGACACGTTGCAGGCGCTCCTCCCGAAGGGCTGCCAAGTGGGGGGCGACGACGGCAAAGGTGCGACCCGAGCGCCAGACACAGTACGGACGTTAGGCCCGCGCAGCACGGACATGAAGATCATCTCGGCCACCTTCAGCATGGCGGTAGCCCCGATCATTCAGATGACCGCTTCGTCTTCGCAGAGAGGCTTCATTGCTGGCCGCCATGCAATTTTCACCAAACATCTTGGAGCTCGATATGTTGGCTCGGGTTGGGCAGTTACTACCAGAAGTGCACCAACGTAACCGCTTGTTGGTCGCTCTGGACTTCGGCCAGGCTCTTCCGTCGCTCAGCCAAGAGTTCCTGTTTGCAGTCTTCGACGTTCTGCAGCTCCCGCAAGGTCTTACGGCAGCACCTCGTGGTCTTTATTCGGTGGCGACGGCAACTGGGAGAGCTGATGGGATTACGCTCCCACTCTGTCGCATCTTCTGTGGCACCATTCAATGCTGCGCACTCTCTGGTAGTCCCTTTGCTGCATCAGCATCGCCTTTCTTGGAAGACTTACGGCGTGGCTTGGAGGCGTTCGATCGTGGGACTTTCCGTGCTTGTGCTGATGACATTGGCGGCATTATGTTTAACATGGTCGACCTCAAGTTTCTGACTCGAGTGATGACGGCGGCGGGGAAGTTGGTC